AGTGACACGACATCAAAACTGGCCATTAAGGCTTTCGAATTTAGTTTATACTAGTTTATTCTGAAAACCAAGCCCAACATACATATATCTCATCAGACATATCTTGCATTTCTGAAAATAACTTGTATTCCACCCTTCACAAAGTTTCAAACTAGAAAACAGCATTAAAGAAATGAAATAGTGAGAATTTGTTGTTGTTAAAGCTACCAAGTGTGGTTTACCTTGATAGAATTATTAATAGTTTTTGTGTGTGTGGTAACTTGACGCGAACCACGGGATCTCAGGACCACAATCCATCATGATGACCACTGTGCTCGCTAAAATAACATTTTTTTTTGTGCCCTTCTCGAAATCTGCAAAGTAATAACTATTTTCTAATTTTAATAAAGTGTATTTATTATGTAGATCAACGATTGTTTTATTTTAGCAAATTATATAAAATAAAACTTTAAAGAGGCTGACTTGATAGAGGGCGACACTATATTGAGATTATATTTCTCTCTAAGACTATATTGTGATTGCGTTTTGTTTCAGTGCAAAGCTACTCAATACGTAAACTTACAATTGAGTACCGAGGGCAAGACAGATTTTCATAAATATTTTTCGCACCAGCAGTAAATACTTTTCGCATTCCAATTTAATAACTAACTCCAACCGTTATATTTAACTCGCAAATTTCAAAATAATATTTCTGGGCGGGAATACTATAAATATAAATTAACACACTAGAGAAAAATTTATTTTTGTTTTTATAACCGTGTGGAAAGTTGTGATTCCATGACCACTTAGTAATTTAAGCCTGAAAACACATACACGAAACAAACAAATGTACCTAAAATATGATTGTTAACAACTACACTGCCAAGAAAAAGATATTGAAAATAAACATAAAACGCAATGTTTAGAAGAAAATTTTAAAAAGTCATAGTACGAAGTCGCAAGGTTATTTCTTTCATCGTGTTAACAAGTAGTAAAACTTTTTAGAAACACTTTTGAATGAATCAGAAATAAAACTACCAGAGTAACCATTCAGTTACAGTGTGTTGTAGACCCGTCAGTTTTTCTTGAGTTTCGTTTCTTTAGAATTACAGATGCCAATGATTCCCATGACTTGTCCTGCGATAAATGTTTATTTTTAGTGAGTAGGATGATGTGAAAATGAATGTAGGAAAACCGATTCAGAATAAGGCTTTTAGTATATATATTTGTTATAATTTTGTTTTGCAAATAATAAAAAAGAACATAAGAAACTGAGTGGCCACTCTTGCAAAGTGTCTTAGAGTACGAGTTATTTCTGTACAAGCTGTTGAAATATCTGTGAAACGTTTTCAGTCTATGAGAGGTGGAAGGCTAAATACCAGTATATATATATTCTATCCTACGAAAGGTCATGCGACACACTTCTGACTGCAGGAAAACGGGTGTGATGACGAAATGTGCAGATAGTTTGGCCTATAAAGGTGATCAGCGGTTCGTTCGGAAGTTATTTCGATCTTGTACGCTGAATGATGAGTACACGGAAAGAGCTAACAGAGTTTCAGAGCGGAAGGAGAGTTGGATGTCATTGGGGGAAATGTCTGTACGTGATATTGCACAGCAATTAAACATTCTCAGGTCGACAATTGGCAACTTACTGAAGAAATGGAAGTCCACAGGTGCCAGTGAGCCCAAGAAATGACCAGTTTAGCGTAAATACTGACTGACAGGAGCAGAAGAGCCATGAGAAGGCTGGTTACCTCATCTCGGCGTCAGACTCTAGAGAATCTGTGTTTGGAGATGCGAGCAGCAACAGGCAATCCTATAAGTGTCTCCACAATACGTAGAGAGCTGCATATCACAAGCTTTTGATAACAAAAATAAATGCTCACTATCGACTGGCATGGGGCAAAGCACACCGAACCTGGATCGGGAATTAATGGAAATCGGTCCTGTGGAGCTACGAGTCACGCTACACGCTCTTCCAGTCTGATGGACGTGTTTGGGTATGTAGGATGCCTGGAGAACGCTTATTACCCGAGTGTGTTTCCCAATAGTGAAGTTTGGAGGTGGTGGTATCATGGTCTGGGGGGTATTTCTCGTGGTATGAATCCATGAATGCTGAGTCCTATATTGAGGTTCTGAACAATTCTGTGTGTCCTACATTGTGACAATTTTATGGTACTGGCCCTTACACCTTCCAACATGATAACGCTCCATGTCACAAAGAAAGGATTGTGAACGCGTGGTTTCAAGAGAATAACATTACAATGGCCAGAACAGAGCCCGACCTCAACCCGATAGAACATCTTTGGGATGAACTGGAACGCAAAATTAGGGCAAGGCCAAGATGGCCCTCTTCAGTATTGTAGCTTACTGATGCTTTAAAGGAGGAGTGGAGCACAATACCACCAGCTTTCTACCAGAAACCAGTAGACAGTCTTCCACGACGCATTGAAGCAGTCATTAAGGCCAAAGGCGGGCCAACGCTATTAATTTCTTGAAATAAAGGACATGTTTTATTCATAACTACCCGTGGAGGCAATATTATGTTACAATCAATCCCACTGTTCGTTAGTATAGAGTAACCTAAGACTTGACAAACTCATTAGTAACCCTGGATAAGGGCAAATCGAAATAACAAGACTAAGCTTCTTATAGTAGTGGAGGTTACTTATATTTATGGTGTTTTTAGTTGCCTTTTACTTAGTATACCTCTTCCACTATAAGAATTCCAGTCTTGTTCTTTCGACTTATGGTTGTTCAGGATTACAGATGAGGAGGTTGAGTACTCCAGAACTATTGCAACTTAATGACGTGATGAATCGAATGATAGATTGAACTTCGTATATATTTTAAGTATTTTAAATAGGTTGCCTGCTAAACAATTCAGAAAATAAATTAGTGACACCAATGCTACGTGTTCTTCAAATCATATACAAACAGACGCGTATCCACTGAGGGGAGGTGCGGGATAGAGATCTGCCTCCCAATAGCTCATCTGAAGTATCAGGATTTAATATCTAAATATCTATAAGTTCTCCATGCATTGTGACTCCCACTAACATGAAAGTATTAATTTTTTGAACATAGTCATATAATGTAACTTGACCCGAAAGAAGTACCTCCAATCAGATGAGAACTAGGGTGTGGGTTCACTGGTAGTTTGAAACAGCATCAGATCGCCGCGAAGCAGTGCAAAGAGAGCCCAAGGTAATTTCAGCTTTTTTGATAATTAAAAATAATAGATAGATACTTCTTGACGTCAAGAAAGCCTATTTTTTTGTATTTAATAACACTTGACCACTCTTCTGCCCTCCCACTAAAAAAATTTGAAACGCTACTTATATAAATATAAGTTTCTGTGTGTGTTTTTATAGCAAAGCCACATCTGGCTATCCACCGAGGGGAATCGAACTCCTGATTTTAGCGTTGTAAATCCGAAGACTTAAAGCTATCCCACCGGGGGACAAATATAAGTTCAATGTGTGAGTGAAAACATCATACATATTAAATTTTCTTTGTTTCAGGGTCATCTTGCAGCGTCACCTATGGTATTTTTTTCCATAAGTGTGTTCTTATGTCTTTACACACCTTACCAACAGGCAAAGCTGTAAGTTGTTTGGTTCTCTCACCACCAGTATATATATACAGTATATGATTTCACTCTAGAATAAAACTACCTCATTGCGTTTGACCATTGATGTTCATGATATATGTATTCTTTAAACTATTTTAATATTTACGCAGATTACAGGGTTTGTAAATTTATGATTTAATCACAATAAAACTGATTTTCTAGTCCGAAGTAAAAGTTATCTGCGTTTGAAGAATTTCGGTTTGCTTGTTTGTATCAGATTTATTGCGCAAAGCTACACGAAGGGTTATCAGCACGTAGCCGCCCTTAATTTTGTACTGACAGACTAGCGGAAAGGCATCTAGTCAACAGCACCCACTACCAATCCTTTGGGTTACTCATGTCTGATCGCATAGTGGCATTTGAGTGTCACTATTATAGCGCACCCACAGACTTAAAATGAAGATAGCATATGTTATTTTATTTTTGCAGAACAGGCCGCGAACCATGAACCCTACGCTCGACCCATAAGATTTCTAATAAAGGCTAGATGCTTATGGTTCATTATTTTTTCGTCATCGGTATTGACCATAGCTACTATTTACCAACATTGATAATAGAAATAAATATATATACATATATATTTGAATGCTGCTTTCCCATAATGTACTACACACTAATTAATTTATGTGATTAGGTCCATTTAGTGACATTTTAAAAACTGTTTCGTTATGCTAGTGATAGTGCTATACCTGTAGATGGGCCGTTTCAGTTAGCACTAACCATGTATTTACAAATATGCTTCAAACAACCTTTTTTTATCTATAACCATTTCACTCATATGAGCAAGGAACGTATACTTATGTATTAAAATGTTTTGGTGGAATACGTAAACTATAAGAAATATGTGGGTTATTTAAAATTATATGTACCAGTATTTCACATGAAATCTTGTTTATAGTGGATTTTTTTTATAGAGTTTAAAGTGGTTTCTGAGACAGTTTGTTTCAGTAGGTGTAAAGATAAGGTGCTTCAAGTAATTTCCACAATGTGCTTTTAAGGGATTTGCCGTCTCCTGATAGTAAGAGTTTAAAAAGATTTATACAGGATCCAGATGTGAGACTAAGGACTGATAAAAAAAAGATTACTAGCAAATTTTATGAATCTCGTAATCCATGGCCAGTGTCACATAACTCTCTCGAGGTAAAACATTTTCTTGATCGCTAGACTTGGCTCTTGATATCTAATTAGAACATCGTATCTTGTTTTAGTTTTTGAATGAAAAGAGTGAAAGAGGAAGGGTATGGAGTGTATGCTAGACTTACTTGGACCGAGGAGTTATGCACATCGTTTTACATTCCTACTTCAAGCTGCTATATATATATATATTATTATCGGACATTTTAAAAACAATACTCGTTTCTTTTAAAAAACACAGAATGTAAAGTTCGAGTATATAATTTAAGCATTAAAAGGCTTTTCCATTTATTCTATATGTTTGTTTGTGTGTAAAATATACAGCCACATTTTGTATCTTAAGCTTAGAGTCTGGATTTTATATACACACAGCTAGATCCTGAATTTTATTTATTACACGATATTCGATCGCTGTGATCTAACAGAAAAACCCAGAGGATGGCAATAAGGTAGGGAGACAGCATACTGCATCAGTAAAGCTCATATAAAATAAATTGATCACACTAATAACAACGCCATGTATTTTAAATGGTGATGGAAAACAGGTTGAACAAACTTTTTTTTTCCCTGTATCTAAATATTTTCATCCAAGAGTTTCCTTACAGCAGAAAAAAAAATTGAATATAACTTATAAGTTCATTATATCTAGAGAATGGTTTGTTTGAAGTTAAGCACAAAGCAACACAATGGGCTATCTGAGCTATGCCCACCACGGGTATCGAAACCCGGATTCTAGCGTTGTAAGTCCGCAGACATACTAATGTGCCACTGGGAGGTACTTACAGATCTGACGATGACCAAATGATTCATTTCAGGATTTCATAGGTAGAAAAAATCGGTCGAACAACGATTTCTAGTGCTGGGTCTTATAATACTTTTCCTGTTATGTATATATAACAGTATAAATGATAAATCAAGCTGTGATTTAACATACAGCAGTCTGCCAAGAGTGATTTAGCCAGAAAAATCATATTTGGAGAGATTTAATCATTTTACTTTCCTTGACCAGAATTTGTGCTATTTCGCCAATTAAACTTTATTTATCAACTCGAAATTTTAGGTTAACATAAGCTCTTCACGCAAGCACTTATCCGTTCTGTTTATGATCCATTTCATTTCGATGTAAACTTTAAAACCTTTTGAAAAATCACATAAAATACTGAATCGGAACTGCAATTTAGTTTTGGAAGATCTAAGTGTTTGGATTTAGTAAAATGTTTATTAAAAGGACAAACATTATACAACATTTCAGAAGGGCATGGAATCGAACCCTTGTGATAAACGTAAGAGGTAACGAAGTGTTTTGTTCTCTGAATGGCTGATAAATTAGTGTTTCATGAATATAGGATTCTTCTATTAAGACTAGAAGCCCCCCCCCCCAGTGTATCATCGGCAACTCTGTACGTTTGTTATAATAAAATCCAGGTTTCGATACCTGTGGTTGACACAGAATAGAGAACCAATTGTGCAGCCTTGTGTTTATCAAAAACAAGTGAAGACTAGAAGGACTGTATTACCCCCCCCCTCCCCAGTATTTTTATGAGCTTACACTGTGTGACAGCAATAGTAATCCAACATATAATCCACTTTTATTACCGTAATTTTGATTTGGAAAAAAGGAAGGAAAACAAACAAACACACACACACACATATTAGCATTGGAGACATAGAGTTAATAAAGAAAGATGTGATAAAATTATTTTCACTGCTATTGTAGTGTAATATCACACAAACAATCGATGAACAATCATGCTTCGCCATCCTATACATAATTTTGATGTAAATAAATCAAAGCATTATTGTATTGCAATGATTGAATTATTCAGGGTCTATAAAATGACGTAATTTAAGAGGTTCACATTTTTATTAAACAGTAATGGAATAAATTATCGAAATATTATGAAAAATAGCTACTCCAATGTATAAAAATCCCTAACTTTACTTTTCATCAATCACCACAACAAGGTCATTTTTTTTTTACATTTCCCACTTCAAAAACAGTTAATAACAGCGGTTTTTTTTAAGTTTGATATTTATATATATAAAAGACGTGAAGTATCTTTTTAGACATTTCAGGGTTGCCAATTATTTATCTTAAAGTGTGCCAAAAACTAAAGCATGCGTACTTCACCGCGAACTTGTGACGTCATACGTCAGCAAGCAAATAAAACCTCACAAACAGTTGAATGTAGGTGACACAGCAGCAAAACGTGTATGGAAGTAATGATGATTCAAAACTGAAGTACAGAGGAATTTTAGGATTTACATTTATATATTAGCTAAAATCTATCCGTTATTGTTGAGTTTCAAATTTCAAAGAATTAATCAACTGACCTATAATTATGGTTTTAGAAGGTGATTTCAACTATTCTCTTTTCAAGACGGCACAGTGTGGTCAAAAACTGTGTGCTGCTTACTCCTGCAGGGCTTCTGACCTTTTAAAGTCCACGCACTGTCCAGGCCAAGGAGAATCTTTTAACACCAGTCCTAGTATAGGCTTTACTGTACCACGACAAAGTAGTCCCCGACTCAAGACTCCCAGCCAAAATCGACTGAAACGGAATAATACAGTTGACCGACCCCAACCTATGAGATCATCTCGAAGACCCCTGCCCTTGGAACCTAACAACTGTTTCCGGCAGAGAATCAAAAGTAGTCCGGCAGACATGACACTTCCGCCGGACTTTAACTTCAACACCCGTTCTTCATCTAATCACTCACCGCCATTGTCGAACGATGGAAATGACTACCAGCGGCTCCGAAACTTTTCTCTAACACCCAAGGGGGTTATCAATCGAGGGGACTCCTTTCGCTCCAAATCTCGGAGCATCCACAGTGTTTCATCGGTTAGTTCTTTGCCTTCACGCAACAGTACAGCGCTACCGACAACACCAGTTATTCCACCAGCATGGTTGCCCTCCACGGGGGATTCTGAAGTCCCCCACGTTTTTGTCACTGAGAGTGTTCGTCACAGAGTGCTGGTCATTGGCTGCCCGGAAGTGGGTAAATCATCTCTCACTTCCCAGTTCACTACGTCAGAGTATATCTGTGCGTACGAAACCTCTTTAGGTAAGGGCATAGGTCAGAGAAAATGTTGGACATGTTTCTATATCATTATTATGTGCCATATAATAATATTTAAACTAACATATTGGCCCGGCATGGCCAGGTGGTTAGGGTGCTCGACTCGCAATC